CTTTCAGGTGACGTGAACAAGAAGCGGGCAGCATTATCTCCTGCATATGTAAAAAAATTGTTTGTCTGAGCGATTGGCTGAACAATAAGTAGGACTGAGTGGACTTGCAGGCTCTAAGATTTTCCATTGTTTTATTTTTGAATGCAGGTTTTTTGGTACATAATTCTATATTTGTAAGTTCAACTTTCATGATAAAGAGATTGCACTACAGTACTTGTATTAGGTGAATTGAAAAACATTATTTCTTTTTTTAAAGTGCAAATATTTGTAATAAAAAATATAAAGTGAGTGCTGTACACTTTGTAGACTGCATTGTAATTGAAATCAATATATTTGAAAATGTAGAAAACATTCAAAAATATTTGAATAAATGGTATTCTATTGTTTAAGAGTGTGATTAATCGCAATTAATTTTTTTAATTGCTTGACAGCCCTACATAGCACTAGAGAGTAACGAAGGTCCATTGCACAAGATAATAGAGCACTGATTTAAGATATTGGTTTTAGAAGAATCGTCTGTATTTTAAAAAAAATCAGTATTTGGTAGTTAAGAAATTTTTTTTGAAATTTGCTAAGATTTTTGAGATGGTTTTCCATATAAACATATTAGGCAATAAATAGAAATACTTGATGTTGAACTAATGTTTTACATACACTTTTTGGTTTAGTGGGGTTTAGTTTTGAAGACTTGCGTCAGCATGCTTTTGTTTTATTATGAAGCAATTGTGAAAACAGTATTTTTAATTAGAGTCTGAGAAACATCAAGATTGAAAATCCAGACATTTAATGCAGTCTCTTTCTGTGGTTCTGTACACCTATTGTGCAATTTTAAGTTTGTACAATGTGATGTATATCTAACATAGTGTTTTGATAAGAAATTTTATTAAAACTAAAAGTTGACATACTATTTTGTTTTCTTTTTAGTAACGGTTTTAATCATTTGCAAGTTATTGCAGTTAAGATGTTTTTGTAGTCAGTGCATGAATTGTTAAAATATTTGAATTATAGTGTATTTCATAAGTTATCGTTCTATTAAATACATCCCCCTATTGTATCTTATTCACAACCACTTGTATTACTTTTTCTTCAGTTTTCATGTAGGGTTATCAACATAAATATACTTAAAGAAGGCATAGAAATCATAGGAAAAAGTCTCAATTGTTTTCTGTATCCCAAATCTTTGTACACTTTACTACTTTAAGAAAAAAAAAAGTGTTAGGAAGCCTCATTTCACTTACCATTGTGATTCTGTCAGTTTCTATAGCCCATAATTAGGTTAGAAAATTACTTGGTTTTGTCTTCAGTTTACATCAAGATATTATAGAAAAAATAGCCAATGACTGGAATCTGATACGTTTTTGTAAGAATTTTGCAATAACTTAACCTTCAGCTTTTAAAGGAAGTTTGGAAGTTGACACTGAGTTTTAGTTTTCACTTGGAAATTTTTGTTTAAATTGTGAGGTTTAATTCTTGTCTAAAAGGTTAAAAAACAATGTACAGGCATCTTCTATGTTTTTGGCCTGTCTGGAATTATAATTCATGGGTCATGGTTATGTTTTTGGTATAAAAAGCACACAGATGAAAGTAGGCTAGTATGTATGAAGAATATATTACTTTTTACAACTTAGCATGTTACCAGCATTTTCTGTAAACCTGTATTCTATCTCATTTGTAAATCTATATTCTAGGGTAAGTGCAAAGGTGTGGTAAGTGTAAACAAAATGAAAATGCTCTGCTGATTGTATAATATGTGTCCTTTGTTATATATATATTTTTGGCTATGTTTTATTTCCTTGTATTTTGTATATCTGTATCTTCTGGGGGTATGAAAAGTCATTGTAATGAGCACTAATTTATAAATAATATCAGAACATTAAGCCCTTCATGGCAGAAACTTTGCCCTCTCTTTTGAGTCTATGTCCTCAGTGATGCTCCACCATAGGATGTACATGTGCCTGTGTGCTCTCAGTTGGAGACCGCAAGTTAATGTCCTTAGACCTGCACAGAGTAGCACCTCATGTGCTAAACAAGGGCATATAGGGAGGCGTGAGCCCAGGCCCACTCAGTTCCTTCTCATCTGCCTGCAGCTCGAGATAGAGAGTTCTGCTGTATTCACTTCCTGCCTTCACTTTGTGAATTCTTTATTTTATTTGTTTTAATAGTTTCTTTTCATTATCTATTTTCATTTGATATCTTTATTTTATTTAGTACTCTTGTATTGGTTGAGGGGCAGGGGGCTCTTTCCTCTTCTCTTTTTTTTTGGTCTTTTGTTTGTGTCAGAGCACAATTTGTTATGCCCAAGATCCCACAGCTTAGGACCTGAGAGATTTGCCACATGTCATTTCCCCATAGTGAGGAACACTCTAGCTACCTGTGGTGTTTGGGGACCCCTCACAACACTTCTAAATGCAAGGTCTGTCTGGCTTTGAAAGGAAGATGCAAGAAAGACAGGGAGAATAGACTTAAGCTCCTATTAATAGAATGTGCTCTAGCTCTGGAGGGGTCTGTGTCCTCTCCCTGTACATTGGCCTCTATATCTCAAGCTGCCTCAGTCTCAGTTGCTGCCTTGTCTGCAGCCCTGGACAATAAAACTCTTAAAAAGAAGAAAACATAGGTCTCAAAGCAAGGAAATGAAGAAAAAGGGGCAGGTCACCCCATGAGACTCGCTGTCGGGAGACCTCTCATTCCAGTAAGGATACAGGAGATGCTCTGACTGAGTCCAATACCAAAGCAGAAACCAGTTTTGACATACCTACCATCAGAGCAACTACAATGGCAGCACCATCTGATACCTTGTAGCACTGTGAGATACACAGGACTCCTATCCGTGCCCTGGTATCGGTATTTCACTGTACCTCTGAAAGGGGAGATGACTGCAGTTTACCTCAGTACCACAATAGCCTCCATCTCACCTGCCAGTAACTATCCAAACCTTTATGTGAAAGCCCTCCATCTCCTTCCAGGTTCCTTTCATCAGAGGATCTCATTATCTCTGATGCACCTGTGTCGCCAGTGCTGGCAA